GAGGAGTACAAAGATAAAACGTTTGTGATGCGAGTTCTGATAGCGCGTAATAGGTATGAATGGGGCGGTTTTAAGTTTCTAAAGATAACCGACATGGATTGTAGCTGTGTAGCAATGCTGGTAAATACATTTACAGCTGCATCACGTGAACTAACACCTCCACCACACCAACTACATATGTATTCTTCATCTTTAACGAGTTCTGGTTTAGAGGTACTGATGCCTTCTCTAACTGTCAACAGCTGTATAATAACTGAACTGGCTTTATGGAATTGTGAACTAGACGAGGAATGCGCTAGAACGATTGGATCGTCCTTGGAACATWCTAACATCACTTCCTTAAAACTTCGTGATAACAATATTGGTGATATTGGTGCAGCCTGTATTGCTGAACAATCTAGTAAGCTGACAGTTCTTGATCTTGGTAATAATAACATTACTGAAAGAGGTGCAGCCCACATCGCWAAGCATGGCAATAACCTAACTGATTTATGCCTTGATTCGAATAATATTTCTGATTCTGGTGCATCCTGCATTGCTAAGCACTGTAGCAATCTAACCAACCTAAACCTGTCTTGGAATAAAATAACTGATTCAGGTGTATACTGTATCGCCAAGCAATGTAGTAATCTAACCAATCTAGGCCTGTCTCGGAATGAAATAACTGATTCTGGTGCTATYTGCATTGCTAAGCACTGTGGTAATCTAACTAAGCTAAACCTGTCTCGGAATCAAATAGCTGATTCTGGTGCGACCTGTATTGCTAAGCATTGTAGTAGATTATCCCAGCTAGACCTGTGGGGAAATAATATAACTGACACTRGTGTTGACTACATTGTTAAGCATTGTGGTAGTTTGTACAGGCTAAACCTGTCACGCAATCCAGTATCTGGTGAGTGCAAAGCAAAAACTCGTCAATTCTGTAAGAAAAACAACCCTGGCCTTTCCCATTTGCAAATATAACAATTAAGCCAATGCTGTGACTTGTAAATGACATGATTCATAAATTCATTTTGTTGAGAATTTCTTCTATYACGTACAACATCCTCCTGTAATAAAGGTTAGTGTTTTCCATAGTACTATAATTATTATAAT